CAAACACCTTCTAATCAGCTGATCGAACGAACCATCAGAAATTCTTTCTTGTTCAGTTGCAGACTGAGAGTTGCGAAAATTTGCTGGGGAGCGTCGCGTATTGTCTGCAAAGTTTAGGAGACTCTATCGGTTTGACAACGCGAACATAGTAATAAACAAAAAGGCGATAAACCGGGACATTTGAACATCCCGAAAGGTGTAGCTGGAACGCCGCGCCTTGAAATTCAAAATAGAGATACCTAGCAGCCTACCTACACTGGTTTTCAAAAGTTAAATATGCGATGGTAAAATCAGCGACAATGGATAAATAAAGCTCTGATTAACACCGAATTGCACATGCAGGTAACAAATGTGTTTGTACAAGAGCGAAAACAAGCCTCTATACAAAACTGAAAATAATATTAAATTTTTGCATATCATGATGACTTCACATTTAGATTATTAACAAATTAAATCTACAACGAAAGCCAAACATGCATTATTAAAGTATGGGGCCACCTCAAACTTTAAGAGATTGGCCTTCTTTCAACGAGGCTATGATCTATCCAGATGCTGCCAATGACCCTTCATTCATTAGGACAATTTTCATTTCTTAGATATTGGTTGGAGGAAGTAAACATGCAGAGAGCCCCACCTGGGAGAACCTAAAAATTTTCAGTGGCATTAAGATCAGAGGGAATAAGACGGTCTGTCCATTCAAGAAATTCTCTCATATTCCAAGTACTCTTTACAGATGCCCGCTCGATTTTTCATTCATAAGAAGGAAATCAGGATCAACCGATGCAGCGTAGAGTCTCACAATAGGCAGTAAGATTTCAGCCCGAAATTGCGCAATTATCACAGAACCATTTTTAAAGATGTGCAGCTGTGTGCGACATCTCATTCAAAATCCAGTGCACAACATGATGCTGACAACTCTGAATGCACGACATTCGATATTTTTCTTGGCCTGATTCCGCGTGCCCCGTTATCTCCGGGAATTTTTACGTTTATCTTTTGATTCCAGGGAATCTCAAAAATCTTCCGTGAACAGAACTTTGCTCCTGTCTCCGACAGTTTAATTAAGATGTTGTCAACACAATTTGTTTTCCTGGACTGAATATGTATATACAAAATACAGCAAAGTATAGTGAGAATAACACACAAAGTATAACACAAAGCAAAAATCTATGTGTGAAAAATAATTATTTTAAAATTTACTTCCTCTATGTTAATTTGGCGCAATATTCATAATGGAATAAATCCTGTCAACAGACATCTTCAAGGTAGAACTATGGATATTAAACTTGCTTCAGAAGCCATTGAAGGAAAATAAACATTTTATTACAATAAAAATCAGATTCTAATAACAGCAATGTGCTTAAAATTGCCAAAAATCTGAGTGAAAACATAGATCGGTAATTTGAATTTAAACCTTTGGTTAAAATCCAATGACGGCAAAAGATAGGTCACTTTCAGTATGACTATCAAGACGAATCACTTCAAACACCTGAAGACAAATTTAAAATTACCGTATATTTCCTTACTTAAGATGATCTTCAGATAAGAAGAGGTATAAAATTTTAAAGTTTTAGCATATATCTGTCCTATAAGACCACCCTCAAAGCATCAACGGCCTATGAATTTAGTTTAGATTAGCAAATATCATCTCCAATAAATTTTATTTTCTTGGACCTGCCTACAGAAGCGTGTGCGAATCACATACTCACATGTAATTGTAACAAGCTTCATTGTAGATTGTGTCGCGTGTACAAAAAATTTGTACTGTAAGTGTAATGAGCGTGAAATTTAAAACGTGTGGGCCTATTTATGGAACCAAAAGAAAAAAGGAAATAGGAAGAAAGATTCAGGATAAAGGTAATATAAAGAGGCTAAAGAATCGAACATCTATGCTGCAGCAAGGATTGCGATATAACATAGAAGGTGATCGTAAAAATTGATGAAAGAATGAAGGTACTATTAAAAAAGAGCCGATAAAAAAAGCATTCGATGAGAAAAGAAATTTCTTGCTGAACAGATTTAGAGAGTAAAGTTGCAGAATGGGCACTAATACAGAGTCAGAACAGTTATGTTATTACAAGAAATATCATTACGACTTATGCACTGACGTGGGCAAGGGCCAGTCCAGAACAAAGCAAACAATTCAAAGAAACAGTAGAGAAGTGCAATGGTTTTCAAGAACAGAAACAATCTGTTAATACGAAAGTAACAAAAATTGCGCAGAAATTACCACAAGATCTTGATCATACACTCACAAGTTTGTTATTGGTATGAGGCAAAAATACAACTTTCCATTATCTAATATTCGAAATACGGTTCCAATATCGATGAACTTGATAAATTATAGAACTGTGGAAACAAAAAGAGTAAAAACTGTTCAAGTTAGAAGTACAGGCTAAGGAAATATCAGCTTTACATTAATATTAAAATGCATGGCAGATGGAATAAAGTTAAAAACCCACTGTCATTTTCAAAAGTAAAACTACTTCTAAAATAAAATTTCCGCCAGGAATTTTATTACATATTCAGGGAAACGAGTGGATGTACGAGAATAATGAAAACGTTTTTAGGGGAAATGTGCAGGAGACACGAATAGGTTCTCTGTTAAATCAACACAGTTTGCTGATGTTGGATATGTTTCGCAGTCACGTAATTGAAAACACTAAAACCGCTTAGCACGAAACAATACTACGATTTCTGTTATACCGGCTGGTTTAATTTCGATACTATAACCTTTACACATGTATCTGAATAAACCATTCGAAGATCATATGCGTAAACAACGGAATAACTGGATAATGAGTGGCAAAAAGTCATACACGAAAGGTGGAGCTATGCAGGCTGGATCACTTGATGTGCTGCGTGATTTCGTCATCAAAACTTGGAAAAAAATTAAAGTGGAAACAGTGATAAAACCATTGCTATTGGATACTAATGAGGAAGTGCAAATCGAGTCGCTAGATACAGAATGGTGCTCATAAACCGAGCTTCTCAACAACAAAACTTCTGCGCAACGAAAGTAAAGATATGCTTGAAGAAGTAATTTGCCTCAGATGATGAATGTAAGGATTTTACAGGATTACATTGATGAGTGATTTGTTAGTTCAAAGGGGCAATTAGCCCAGAATTCATTTCGTTTAATTAATTACGTTTTGGCACTTTGCGTTGAAATATCGGTTCACTTTTTAAACTGTTGCCACCAAATATTAGAGCCCGTATTATATTTAAAGGAATTAAATAATGAAGAATCTGCATAAATGTATGTATGTTTCTCACATTGTGATAAAACAACGGTACCTAGAGCCATCAAATTTTGAATAACGTACCTTTCTACTCTAATATGAGCATCTGGAGGCCCAAATTTGGAATTTGTTTTATTCGCTATTTCATAGCTTGTAAAACGTAAACGAATTTTTAATGAAACGAAAAAGCGAACACTGACAACACTGTACGAAACAAAAATTATCTCCAGCGCGGAAATTCTAAAGACATGCTCATTTTAAAATTATTTTGCGATATTACTGTTGAACTGAATTTTATGGTTTAAGTGTGAAGAACATGTTATTTAATAAATAAATGCAGCACACAACACCTCTTTGGGCGTAATGTAAAATCTGAAAGCTTTCAGATTTATATGTATATATTTTTTTATTTCATAATAATTTTAATTTACATATTTTTCAATCTAATTGTTTTTTGTATTTATCCTATAAATTGTATTTGTCGAACCCGGATTTCGGTAGCCCTTTTTTTTAATGATTCATCTCTCATCCTATCTGCGGAAATACGCGGTACGTATTTTATACGTTTTTTTGATAATGCACTGACACTCTTAAAGGAATGTTCTAAACTACTAAAACTGTACAATGGTAATTTTAGTTTCCTGTACAGTTAATGAGAAACTGATAAATGAGATCTGCGGAAAAAATGTAACAATTTGGAGAAAACAAACCTTAAAGATATGTGATTTTATATAGATTTGCAAAGATAAATTTAAAACTCAAAACCCTTTTGAGATTTTGCAGTGAATTATATCTAGCAATTTTATTTTTTAGCTTACCCCTTTCATTAAGATTATTATTGACTTCACGTGTAGAGTCGCAATTAGTAAGTTGGAAAGGGGTAAGCTAGGAAAAATTAAATCGTTAGATGTAGTTTTTCTAGTTTACTCCTTTCCTTAAGATTATTACTGATTTTGTGTGTTAGTGATGCAAGTGGTGAAAGAACATTTTTCAAACTAAAATTAATTAAATCTTATCTACATAAAGATATATCACAAGAAAGATCTGTGAAACTTATATTGAGAGGAGTTGAAGATTTTATTTATACAGTATTACATTCAAAAAAAAAAAAAAAAAAAAAATAATTTCTACTTTTTTTCATTGGAAATATAGAAAATAAGAATTGAGATGTAAAAAAAATATTGTTTAATTAATCAAAATTTTAAGCATATATGTTTAATTAGCATTTAAATTACACATTTTTGATTAAAATACGATTTAATTGTTTAAAATGTGGTTTTGTTGTCTTATTTCTTCTTCTAAATGCTCTTCTGTTATTGATAGAAGATGATAAAAAAGTTGATCTTAAAGGGCGCATTTTTTGAATTCGCTGAAGGGCATAGAATACCTTAGCGTAGGCCGTGAATATGAGCGCCAGCTTTTAATTATACTCAGTCTGACTGGAAAGATATCCATTTAACACTGGCACTAGTTGCATGCCTTCGTGTAATAAATAAATTTGGAAGTATTTTAAAGTAGTATTCAATTTGGAATTTAAAATAATGGAAATTTTTTTTATTCTCAGAAACAAAATTTCTGCTGTGAAAGTGTCATTATAGGTCTTGAACACTTTATTGAATGGGGACATAATTTTATTTTTAAAAGTTAAAATTGGGAACAGATTCATTTGTGTGTGTGTGATTATGGCAAAGCCTCGAGGGCTATCTGCCTAAGAGGAGGGATGCCTTCGTGGAGGACTTTCTAAGGGAAACTGGCTCGTATACACCTTACACATGGGGAAAACCACGAAAACACCCATGCAGCCAGCCCGTTCGTGGGATTCGAACCTCGGACCGAACTACCAGTTTTCAGCGACTTTACCGCTCGGCCGCTGGTGGGCCAATTCAGATTCATTTGAAACCCATGTCACTCACTATTGAGCTTTAAACACGTTACAGTATATTATTTTGTACTTAAATTTATGAGCTTTGTATTTAAAATAAATTTCTATTATGTAATAAAAGTAAAGAAATGCAGGCACTGTTCTTATCTGGAAAACCTACACTTGATCATGAAACACTTTGTTCTTAAAGTTTATGTTTTCTAGAAATTCGGAGAATTTCAAGTACTTTATTAGTAGATGGCCGCTATAAGTCTCTCTAGCTTGATATCTCTTGTCTTAAATGAACACAGTCAGGAGAAGCTGAAGTCTATATTGTGCTAACAGTCCTACGTTGTGCTTATTATCAGAAATCTGAATATTCTTGCCAGAAGCAACCAGAACAAACTAGCTATCACACAAAGGCAGAGTCCGGCACATTCGATGGCTGGTGGCCATCCAACCGTGAACAACCTAGCTCTTAGAAATTCTTCTGGAATATCTTTGTCCAGTACTGTGCTTGTATAAAATCCGTCAGGTTTAACACGCTTGAAACGCATGAAAACGAGGTTGAATGTTCCGAAGACAGCTAAAATAAAAATAAAAATTTAGTTTAAGATTTTTTAATTGATCAAAATATTTAAGACATATTGTAAAAGGGTACAAGGTTAAATAACATATTAATACCATATCTGCTTTAAATATAATATTAATCAACTTTGGATGATAACAATTTCTTTCATTCATTAATTAATTATATTTGAAGATTATTGCATCAGAAATTCAGAAAGACGAGTAACTCATAAAAATTAAAAACAGCACAGCCTTAATTATTTATAAAAATATTCTTAGAGAAATAATTAAAACCTATTCTTAGAAAAATAACTAAAAGCTGTTAATAATTACTAACTATTTATAAATAATTTTCAGTGAATAATCGTACTGCATAGGAGCGTAGCCAGACCTGAAATTAGGGGAAGGTGCCCGTTTGTTGAAACGAAATTTCTCAAAAATAGGCTTATTTTTACTCAAGGGGACACTGGATTCAAGTTCTAACTTTTGCCAAATAAATTAAGATTAGTCCTTAATTTTTAAACTGAAATTAATTGATTTAGTCTAGTTGAATTTAAAGTTTTACCAAGTAACCAGAAACTTTCTTGCCGCTTTCGACGTCCCATTTGTTGAAGCGTCCACAGAGAGGAAATTGACTCATGCAGCGGAAAAGCTTTGGAGGGTAAGTGTAATTATTTGCATATACTAATTCTAGCATGCTGCGCATAGCGCAATCACAGCTAGTTAGCTAGAAAAATCGAGAAATGGAGATATCAATGCAGTGAAACGTGTGGTGGACTCGCAAAACGCTTCTACGTTTTCGAAGAAGCAATCAAACTTCAGTTGCACTGCATAGAGAGAATGTGCACTGCGAAAAAAAATTTTTATTTTGTAAAAAAAAATTGAAATTTTTGAACGCGAGATTTTTCGCTCAACGTGCAAGTTGAGCAAATAGGTACCTTACACATTGTCGGCAATGTGTAAGGTTGCCGACAATGTGTAAGGTAGGTCACCTACCTACCTTACACATTGTCGGCAACCAACAGCGAATAAAGCATAACAGTCTGTTTGTCGTTCTTGCTTACGCACCTTAACAGATTCATATTTGTTGGTATTTTTCAGAGTAATAAAAGGTGAGTCCTGTGTGACCCTCCTAACCGTACCAGACATTAGTTGTCACCACGCGGCCCTACAACCGTGGCGTGCGATAAATGTGCTAGTAAACTATGTCCATATGTATCCGACAAAATGCCGTTTTCAGGGTGCACAAGGAGAAAGTTTATGGGAAAACATTACATTTTGTTTTTATTTAATGATGTTGAGCAGTGGCTTTCAAATTATGTTCTCCGGAACTGCGAGGTTCGGCTAGTCAAAGCCCAGGGTTCTGGGTTTCAAATAAAAAATTCGGACAGAAAATTATAGAGCGTTAACACTAGTTAATTAAACAAAAATAGTTAGATAAAAGATAGTTACAAATTAGTTTTAAAACGTAACATGTGTCATCATATGTCCAAGTAAAGGATGTACAATGCTTTGAAAAACTGAAACTGTTTTCTAATGGAGAATTAATTGAATTTAGCGATAGTGTTAGAAACTATTTTTCAATTGTAGGAAACTGTAAAAGAATATTTTACAGGAGAAAAAAAACAGGTATGACTGTATAAAAAATCCGTTTGAGTACTACGATAAATAGTGTTGCTAGAGTAAAGGGAACAACTTATAAACATGCAGATTTGACGTTAAAATCTAAATTTATACAAGGTCAGCTTCTGAACTTTTGGCATAGATTCCTGCAGCATACCTAAGACAGCTTTAAACGTTTTAATGCCATTCGAAATAATGTGCGAAAAATCTATCTCAACATAAGTGGCAAAAAGACAAAATAAAGAACAAATTATGCAGAATATGAAATACGACTGCAGGTAACGTCAATAAAGCTAGACTTCGACACTTTGTGTAAAAAAATGCAAGGACATCCCTATCTCGAAATATTAAGACAAGGATAGGTTAATATTAAGAAAGTCGAAATATTAAGACTGGAGCAGGAGTTAATTATTTTAATTTTGTTACTTTGTTTAATAAAAATATAATACTTTTCTTTTAATTGTCTTGACATGAAATATCTATGACATATTGATCTACTTTAAATACTATTTTAAGATATATTTTTCAAAGGGTGATATGGGGTATCCCGAAAAGACCTTAAGTTCCTAAGGTTACGTGAAAAAAGAATTCTATGAAATTTCAAATACACTCATGTCCATAAATTAAGGATACACTACACACATCTTCAAGAATCATATGCAAACTTCAGGAAGTAACCAGATGACACCGATTGTACGTAACAATGACGAGAGTGTAAGAGAGTGATATATGAGGAATATGGGCAAAGAAGTAAAATTGTTCGCAGGCGCTTTATAAGCATTTCAGTGCAAAAACCGAAAATTTAAAAAATAAAAGGCATTATTTGTTGAAGCAGAGGAGAAAAAGTATCATTGGACTCTTTGAATAGAATATTTATATGCTTAAAGAATAGAATATTAATGTTACATTAATATTGTTACAGATTTTGTATTTATTTAGCTATTTTTATAGAATTGTAATTAAAATTGTTTTATTTCTCCGTGCAATGCAGCGCATGACGAGTTTCAAGAGAAAGATACGCCGAAAAAGTAAAAATACAGGAGATTTAATAAATAGTTATCTGGTAACTTATATTTAAATTGAATAAATGCAGTTGGGTGTTAGCTGTAACTTTAATTTTTCTCTTTTGCCTTCTAGAAACCTCGAGAAAAGAAAAATTACCAACATATTCTCGTGCATGATTGAAAAGCTTTAAAAAGTAGGAGAAAAACTTCTCAGCTCAGTTGGAGTTGTTGTTGTTAACTTGGCTGCTGTAAATTTTGATCGGATTAGCTCTCTGGATTGTGTTCTATTTAAGATTTTAGTAGTTTAAAATATAGCTACTATTTATATTGTGCGATATTGTGCTATTATACGAATATATTTGAGGAAAAATCCTGCGTTTTGTTTTTTAATCTTGTGATAAGAATAAATTTTGTTAACTTTTTATCGGACTTGTGAATTGAATCTACACTCATGTCCATAAATTAAGGATAATTCGGAGTCATGCGGAAATTGAACTCTAAAATAAATATATCACCTGTAAAATCACTACACACATCTTCAAGAATCATATGCAAATTTCAGTAATTAACCAGATTACACCGATGGTACGTCACAATGACGAGAGTGTAAGAGAGTGATATATAAGGAATACAGGCAAAGAAGTAAAATTGTTCGCAGGCGCTTTATAAGCATTTCAGTGCAATAACCGAATAGTTATGACACAAAGGACGCATTTGGATGATTTTTTACGGGGTAGAATTATCGGCCGTCTGGAATGTGGGCGTACCCAACTGGAAGTATCAGACGAACTTGGAATAGCCCAGTGTGTCATCTCCAGGCTTTGGCAACGATTCCAAGATAATGGTAATGTAAGTAGACGTTACAGCACAGGTAGACAGGGTTACAATGCTGAATGAAGACCGGTATTTGGCAGTTACTGCCAAAAGAAACAGGCGGAGCACAGCCTCAGACCTGTCTCGTCAGCTCTCATCAGCCATTGGTACGACAATTTCAAGGCAGACCGTACAGACGCTTAGGGCAGATTGGTCTATATGCTCGTAGACCTGTCAGATGCGTTCCACTTACTGCAACTCACTGTCGCCTGCGGTTAGCCTGGAGTAGAAAGCATGCATTGGGAATACCGCAACAGTGGGCTTGTGTGATGTTTTCGACGAGTCCAGGTTTAGCTTGCAGTCTGATTATCGCCGGACTTTCATATGGAGAGCTCCAGGTACCCGTTACCACCAAGAAAACATCATTGAACGACACTGTTACGGTGGTGGAGGAGTGCTCGTTTGGAGTGAAATTATTCTCGGTTCCAGAACTGACCTGCATGTTCAAATTGGAACCACGACAAGCCAAATATATCGGGACGTCATTCTGGAACAACATGTACGTTCGTTTCGGGGCGCCATGGGCGCACAATTTGTGTTTATGGATGACAACGCCCGTCCTCACCGTGCAAACATCGTAAACGAATGCCTTCAATCGGAGGATATCACCCGTATGGACTGGCCAGCATTCTCACCGGACTTGAATCCAGTAGAGCACGTGTGGGACATGCTTGGCCGAAGAGTTGCAGCCCGTCAATCTCATCCTACATGTCTACCGGAACTTCGGAGAGCATTGCTTTTTGAATGGTGTAATATCCCCCAAGATCAGATCGATAATTTGATACTCAGCATGCCTAGGCGTTGTACGGACTATATTGCATCGTCTGGGAGACATGGAATGTATTAACAATCATACCAACCATGTAATATTGTTTTTTTTTTGTAAATACGTTTTTTTTTTTTTGTAATTTGCTACAGGGAGAAAAATTCGCTAATTTTTTTAATAATATCAAACATATAGCATCTTTTTTTGTTCTTTACCTTTTGTTTAATAAATAAGCTTTACAAATAAGTCAAATTTGTTTTGCTTCTAACTCTTCCTTTGCCTGATTTTGCATTATCCTTAATTTATGGACATTAGTGTAAATTGAAGACCACTGATATAAAGTATAGATCTTAAATAGACAAAAAGCAAAACAACAACAAAAAGAAACCTTAGTTTGCATAGATTTTTAAATAAATTTCAAGCGAGAATTCGAATTCGAGCGCGTTTCTCGATTTCAGAAGGGGTAAAGGAAATTTCAGCGAAACGATTTTAAATATAAAACAATAGATGGGGCAAAATAAAATCGAATGCAGGGTGATTGGTCGAAGAAAATAGTAATGGAACGATAAAAAGCTAAGATATCTGAGATATTAAAATGCGATTCGTGTTCCTTGACAAGCATAATTTGAATACTTTTTCAGTTTAGCCGATATATGTCAAACCACGAAGACACGATATGCTAAAATTACACTAGAATTTAAAATTAGGCATACGATCTTTAAGAATCGAACAATGATTTCTACTGATAGGAGATGAAATGATCTGAAATGTGAACTTATGAAGAATCCGACTAATTTTATAACTGATAGAAAGATTAAACAGTATCGGAAAAATGTGAAGAAATTTGACTAAAAGACAGTGGCATGTTTCTACATAAATCTACGAGCTGCGGTTTTAAGGCTAAACGTCTGTCGACTATTCCTGTTGGCGTCAGCAAAGAACTTCTCATCTTAAATCCAGCTGTTTTGTTACAGAGATTGAATGATGACATTGCGTTCAAGCCATAGAGTAGGAATGGTTGTTTGGTTGAAAACTCTGCTGAGACTTCAAAATTTCAATCTTTTTTAAACTAATTCGATAGCACGTTTTTGAACTAGCGGTGATCACACGTATTATTTTTGCCGATTATGTGGGATCAAAATTAAAAACTTCTAAAATATAATTATTTTACAGTTATATCTATCTGTTTTTAACTATAATCTTCAGTTTTATGAGAGTTACTTTTCTGAGCCACTGTTAGATTCGTCTTGGATTCTAGACTCAGTTGGTTAACCGGGCACCCTAGCTTCCTTTCTGAATGTTTCACTTTTTTTTTTTTTTGTTTTTTTTTGTTTCTACAATTGCTGTTGCTACGACTTTTTCTTGTCTTTCATTCCGTGTTGCTGTCTTTGCCTTTCTACATTCAAATTTTGAATTAGATTCTTGAACTTTCAAATAGGTTACACATTACTCAGTTGCGTTTTTCTCCTTATGTTATTCAATCATGCTAAGTTCTATAGTCAATTTCTCGTTTCTTTAAAAAGTACTAGAAACAAGTGACGAATATCTAGTACAGAAAAAAATTATATGGTTTCTAAAACATATTGGCCCACATGCAGCGAATGCAGATTACTTGATGTTCTGTTCTCGTCACCTCGCAAATTAAACTTAATTTTGATGTACACCGTGTCCACAAAAGCCCTTACCCGAAGTTTATTTTGGCAATCCTTAGTTGTAGTTAGATTCGTTCACTTACAGAAATGTTTTAAATGCTAGAAGTATTCGTGTTTTGGCATATTTAAATTTGAAAATATTTGTTTGTAAAAATTAAGAAATGTTACTTTTTATAGGTTCCTCCTGGTCCTGCATCTAATGTTTAGAAAAAGGTTACATTTATTGAAAAAAAAAAAAAAAAAAAAAAAAAAAAAAAAAAAAAAAAAAAAAAAAAACGCTAAAAGTTTGATACCCGCACGACAAATATTGGCCGAGATACTTAATTCCAAAATCTCCTATTTTTGATGTTCTTTTCGGTTTGCATCGAGTGATTGGTTAATAAATTAAATAAGAATTATTCGGGGTTTATTTTTCCTTCTTAAATGTCGTTCAATGATATTATTTTGTGATTTACTTCTGTGCGTCTTTACTTTATGATTTTGTTACATTTGGTCCGCTTAAATAATTTTCATACAATTATTTTATATTTTCAAACACTAAAAATACGTTAATTATATTCTCATGATGTTTCATTACTTTAGAATTATAATCTAGTGATCATTCAAAAAATTCCTTAATTTAAACTATTTTTCATTTTTAATTAATGCAACTAAAATAATGAGTTGGTTAAGGCCAGTTATGAAGCCTAACAACATTTTCCAGAACAGAAATGTAATGATCAATACTTTTACCAATGATTTGCACAAAAATACTTATATTTATTTTTAATTAGTCCAAACGCAATATTTCGCTCTTCAATTTGTATACGACCTTAAATACGATCTTCGACTTTGATATTAATATAGAAATCAATTTTGGCCATATGGATATCACACTTCTGTATTTTTCATAATGAAAATAATGATTTTACAAAAATATAGGGACCGGAAAAACTTATAAACCGTTATATTTCGTAATGTTTTCAAATCTGATTTCTGTAGTTAAAAATTGTCATATTTAAAACCATTTTTGTAATTTAACTACAACCAGCGGTTGCGAAAAAAAGCTTGTAGAAAGAGTTTCGTGGATACGGTGTTATATTCTATATTTAATATGTTTTTATCTGATTTTTAAAGTCCCTTTCTTTATTTTTAAGATCAATGCTGTCTAATTTTTGTTGTCTGATCATTCACGGTAATTTAACGAAACCAATTTTAGCAATATCTTCTCCATCATTAAAACAAAAGTTAATTCGATTTCGAACTCGCTGCTTAAAACAAATTTCTCAGATTTTCCGTCTGGCATGAGAAATTGTTGAAAATACATTTTTTTTGCTGTTATAAATCACGGAATCCAACTTAATTGTTAGTAGGACACATACTGCTCATTATGCTTGTCTCTGACTCCTGCAAAAAGTTAATATTACTGTTATTTTGGGGGGGGGGACTGTCGAACATCTGAACGGCTATAAATTTTGATGCCGTATTTGATAATAACGTTTAGTTAATTGTAGTAAATACTTAAATATTTGAAAATTCATAAAATAGCTTATTCATTATGGTTAAAGTATTGTACGGTTAAAACAGTGGTAGAATAGAATACTAAGTGGAACTCCCGTATTCATCCAGAGATGAACGTAACATATATTTCCTACAGCTTAATTTTAAATATAAAATTGGATGTGGGATTAAGATACCTAATGTTCTATTAAAACATACATGCTAATAACGCTTATCAATGAGATTTAAAGGGATATGTAAGGTGATTATTAGCACTATGGGTCTCTAGTAAACTTAAGCTTTGTATAGGAAAAACAAAATATGTGAAATCAAGAAGAAAGATCTAAAGAAATTGAATAATGCATTGAAAATGGTATTTTGAATTTCTTATATGTTTTATCTTATAATGGAGCTTAATAGTGATACCGATGCTCTTCTGTTTGCAAATGATGTTTGCAATGATCATTGAAATAACTACGACAAGTATCTTCAAATGCCATTTTTTTAATTATTATAAGTCGTATGACTCATCATGATTAAAAATAAAATTGTTCCGTAATGTTAAATTAGTCCTACTATGATGCAGAAATAACTTATGCCGTTTTGTATGCTACTTTTACTATATGACATACAGAGATAATCATTTAAAAATGTTATAGTAAAAAATAGTAAGAATATATAAAACACAAAGATTTTTAACATAACTGCCCTAATTACTTGTACAAACCTGCTAAACTATACATGACTCCAGTAACCATGATCGTGCTGATTTCATTCTTAATTAAACCTAATATGCCAAGAGCTGCTGAACTTCCTAGAAGGATGAGGCAAACAATTGCACATGACATGGCCAAATTTCGCATTCCTAAAAAAGTGTAGTATGTTAAAATTCTCTAACATTTTAAAAATGTTATTAGATCTTAAATATTTGAAACATTTTTACGCAAGATTGTAGTAAAATGAAGGAAAAAAGCTTTTATTTGATAAATTTTAAAATATTTTTCAGAAATCTCTAAATATGTCTATATCTCACAAGATTTTATCAGATTAATAACTGTCAAATTTTGAAACTTAAAACCTTTAGTTCTAGTACAGCCATTCACAAACTATGAACTTACGTTTCTTATGGTGAAATATGCTTGCAAATAAGATCATGAGGAATTAATAGGCTCTGCATTAAAAAATTTTATCATTTCTTTAGTATTTATCACTCGTAGCTATATTCAGTTAGGGAGATGAACTGTAATGCTTCATTGCTTTATCAATTCTGCAACTCATGGGCCTTAGTGGTAGAGGAATAAACTATATACAGAGTCCTCTAAAGACTCGGTGTATGGTTAATGAAGCTTGATAAAGTACTTGGGATAAATATTAAACTATTGGATCTAGAAAAAAAATGAAAAAGATTAAGCAAAAACTAAGAACGAAGTTTAAGAATAAATTCATTTAATTTAGATGAAAAAAATTGCTATACCAAACACCTTATGGCAGTAGTTCACTTCCATAAATACTGTATAGAATATTGCCATGAAACAGTTCTTACAGTTATGACATTAATAATATTATGAAGCTTCCTTACATCAGATTTATATTTCAATATTCTTCAAAAGAAATTACGCATTTTACATTTGTTAACACTTGAAATTCATCTCTTTATAAAATTTTTATTCATATTCTGTAGCATATGATACACATTTCTTAAGACATTTCCAGATATTTTTATACATTAAATATTTAGTAAATGTATAAAGCTTTCACTTTACCTCAAGAGACATGCAATTAAATTTACTTTTCACACTTCACTGTAGCCAAATTGATTTGAGATAAAAGCCTTTTGCTAAAAAATATGAGTATACCTTATTTTTCTGTTGTTACTTTTTTATCTCTACATTTTTTATGTTCACTGTCCTTATATTTTAATTCTTTTCTGTTCTACAGCAAATAAAATAGCGAAAGATTAAACTGAATACGACATAGCGAAATATTTAACCAAATCTTACCATCAGAGCAAGGAAATAATACGCGCGGAAACGTCGGTAGAATCGCGCATGTACTTTATCTTTCCAGCATTTCAGCTGAGCCTAAAATATGCAGTTAATTAAGACAAAGCAGGTGAAGTGACTTCTATTCCAAGGCACGAATCGAATATCTGAGATACTATAAAATTTTAGCGTGCTTTTATGAAAGCTAGAGATAATCTAAGAAAGTTGAATATTTATCATTGTGATGCTGCATGCAGAAAGTCATTTTCCATATAAATAGAATATGATAAAAATTTTCATATAATTTTTAAATGTATCTATAAAACTGAATTGATTTTAGTCAGTAGAATCCGGATAACATATCACTTTCTACACAGCTTAAGTCGTTTATTAAAGTACATAACTAATTAAATTTATTAAACTACTTATTAAACTATTTTTAAAAGTGTTGTAAGATCTTAAGTTTTACTAACGTTTATTTTATTTTAAATCTTTACTATCACTTCTTATTTTCTACTTCCGGCCAGAATTATAAGCGTTAATGTATTTATGCAAAGTTTGTCTGGCGAACGCCAAGTACTTAAGTTGTGGCTTTTTGCCAAGCGAGAGAGAGGAAGCAGTTAGTCGAAGCAGGCCGCTTACCTTAGAAGTTTTACTCAGTTGCTGGTTGCCTTCCAGGCCAGAGGTTTAATCCTCTTGATAATTTTAAACGTATTGTAGTGTTCACAGTTCTCTGTACTACATACGGCTTCCTGTTAATATAAGGCCAATCTTCCACGTTTATTATTTTAAAGTTAAATTAGAGTTTAGTTTTATTTTTATATTCTTACGTTTAGACCACAAGTAGTGGGTCTTGTATTCCGAAGTACGGAAATTATTGTAAAGAGAGAAAAATAAAGGGTTTTGTATACCCTTCTTGTGTATCCTGTCTACTTCCCACAGTTATTGAACATAGCTTTAGTAAGCTCTCTGTTCCGAGTCAGGTCCTTGCATGTTCCCGAAGAAGAAAGTAAGACGGAACATTGAACCTGATAGTGGCGCCCAACGAAGAAGAATAACCATGGCCGAGTTTCAAGAAGAACCTGTGCTGCCTGCAGAAGCGGCTCAGAATCCAGAAATGCCAGCTGCCGCCCTGGAAGGATTTGGTTACATCGTCCAGACCATGCGCGCTTCGATGAAACCAGAAGCAACATTTAATGGAAACTCACCGGTAACCAGTTTTTTGGAAAAATTGGATGACCACTTCATGCTCTACCCCGTGCACGAATTTCAAAAAGTTACCTTAGCTACCAGCGCTTTGAGGGGCCAAGCGCTTAATTGGTTCAAATGTATAGGCAGAAGTCTCTTGGGTCAAGCAGGAAGTCCCACCTATACTTACGAGAATTTCAAGACTGCCCTAGTAAAAGCCTTCCCTGTCGTAAGGGATCGTGCGAAATTAGAAACGGAACTTTTCAGCATATATCAGCAAAGAATCGAAAATCTCTCAAGCTTTATTTTAAGAAAAATTCACGTCTTCAAACTCTTGTATGGAAACCGTCCGGATCCTGAGATAATTCAAGTGATTTTGCCGAGGTTACTGCCCCAAGTGCAAGACTTTATTGAATTAAGAAATCCGACTACACTGGAAAAGTTATTTGAGCTAGCAATCCAGTTTGAAAGTAGAAGAACGGCGGACATTGAAAGAAGACGCCAATATCAACAGCGAAACCAATTTGGTGCGCCAAGACTACAGCAAACTCAAGCACACGGCTACGGAAGCAAAGCGAATCAGTGGGCAAGGAAACCCGAGCATTCAAAAACAGCCGGCGAACGTCGACAGTTCAATAGCAATCCAGGAAAAAAGTCTCAAGGCCAGTGGAAAAAAAAGAAGGAAAGCACGGAAATGAAAAAATAATTTAAACTAAAACGGATTTCTGCTGACGGGAGGGTGCGGAAATCCGAAGGCCAAGAAAACCCCTCTTCCTTCAAGTTAAAAATACAGTAATGGTGAAAAATTTGACTCTTCCGAAGATTGAAGTGTTGGTGAATAATATCCCAGCCACCGCACTCCTGGATACAGGCGCGCAGTGTTCCTGTGTGGCAGAAGATTTTTTTAGGAAGTATTTTCGGAAATACCGCATATATAATTCGGATAATACGACAGTGTTAGCTGCGCAAGGAGAAAAATGTAAGTGTATAGGTAAATTACCGCTGTATGTCCATATCAAGGACGAACAAGTAAAGCTTATGTTTTTCATAGTAAAGAATCTGCAAGCACATATTATCTTAGGGATAGATTTTCTTTCAGAGGCACAAGCAACGCTGGATTTTAATGAAGCGTCCCTTAAGCTGACAATGAAACCAGTTCGTGGAGAAAAGGCTGAACCGCCGATGTTAAATCCTTGACCACCTGCCTAATGACGAGCAACGAAGAATCCGACAAGTGGTAAGTGAATTTGCTTCGTTATTTAGTGATATTCCAGGATTTACTCAGGTTACTAACCATAGTATTGACACCGGAGATTCAATGCCAGTTCGCCACAAAGCATACCGGTATGATAAGAATAAGGAAAAAATTATAGAATGGCATATCACCGATATGCTACGTAAAAAGATCATAAACGCCCATCTCAAGTAGTTATGCTAGCCCGGTGGTTTTATGTAAGAAAAATAATGACTATCCTTTGACACATCCAAAAAGGTGGAGATTCGCAATTGACTACCGTAAATTAAACTCCATAACTAAATATCCGGTATATCCGTTACCTATTATTGAAGAAATTCTAAGGAACATAACATCCACCAAATATATGACGACTTTAGACTTAACGACTGGTTATTTTCAAATAGGGGTTAGGCCTGAGGACGTGCCTAAGACTGCTTTTATAACCAAGTCTGGCACTTATGCATTTTTGCGTATGCCGTTTGGCCTTTCAGGGGCACCGGCAACATTTCAGCGATGTATGGACATTGTGTTAAGGCCTGTTCTTGGAAAGTCCACATTTATCTATTTAGACGATATCATTATTACTAGTGATAATCTCGACCAACATGTACAGGATTTAAGACAGGTGTTTTCTTTATTAAATGAGGCCGGTCTAAAAGTTAATGTCGAAAAGTGCAAATTTGCAGCCCCTGAATTAAAATATTTAGGTTACAAAATATCTCAGAAAGGAATCGAGACAGACGAATCAAAAATAATCGCTGTACAAAAGTATCCGACTCCAAACACGGCGAAGAAGCTCTCTTCTTTTCTAGGACTTTGTTCATATTATAGGTCCTTTATAAAAGATTTTGCAGCTATTGCTGAACCATTGTTAAAATTAAAAAGGAAAAAGGCAAGATTCTCGTGGACGGCCGAAGCCAATAGTGCTTTCGAAAAATTAAAAACAAGCATTAACGCAAGCCCCTGTGTTGAAATTTCCTGAAAAGGATGAGAATTTAGAAATTTCAGCGGATGCTTCGGATTATGCGGTAGGAGCGGTACTTTCGCAAAATCAGCAGCCCGTGGCATTTTTTAGCCGAACTTTAAATCAAACACAAAGAAACTATTCCGCGACCGAGAGAGAGGCACTTGCAGTTCTGTTAGCAGTGCAAAAGTTCCGAGTCTATTTTGGAAAGGCGCCAATAACAGTGTACTCTGATCATGCGGCGGTAACTAGATTGTACTCAGGGAAAAACTTATCCCCAAGGTTAATAAGATGGGCACTCAAGCTACAAGAATATAATCTGGTAATCAAGCATACCCCGGAAAGGAAAATATCGTAGCAGATGCCCTATCCAGAATTAAAATAGATGAAGAAGGTAATACCGTAAAGGTGGCAATGCTCACAGCATGTACAATAAATTCCCGAGAAACTGTAATAACCGAACTGGGTAAGGATCCTGAGTTTGGAAGCATTTATGAGTATTTAAAGGATCCTGAAAATTTTAGCCACCAAGATATTGTGGCGATAAGAAATAGGGCGGCCCCATTACGAACTAATAGATGGTCTATTATTTTATACAAAAACTACGAATTCCAACAACGAATTTCGACCTGTTATCCCAGCTAGTCTTAGATTAAATATCCTGCAGGAGCTCCATGACAGCCCTTTAGCTTCTCATGCTGGTATTCGAAAAACTATCCAACGCGTACGCGAGGCAGTCTATTTTCCTGAACTGCAAAAGTTAACAAGGGCGTATGTCCAGTCCTGCCCAACATGTCAAGCAGTTAATTATATTAATTTCCGCCCGGCCGGGTTTCTAAATAGTATTAAATCCGAATTTCCAAATGAAATAATTGGCATCGATTTATTGGGCCCTTTCCCAAAAAGTCAGTTAAATAAAAGTCGCTATCTCCTTGTTATGGTTGATCATTTTAGTAAGTGGACCGAAATTGTTCCCTTAAAACGAGCCTCCGCGAAATTAGTTACTGATTCTATTTTAAATAAATATATTTTAAAATACGGGGCGCCCCTAAAAGTTATATCGGATAATGGTCCTCAATTTGTAAGTAATGTATTTGAAGACATGTGCCAAAAACTGGGCATACGTCATTTAAAAATGGTCCCGTATCGGCCGCAATCAAATATAGCGGAACGGGTCAATAGAAATATAGTGAAAATTATCCGTAGTTATGTTAAAAATTTTCATAAAAGCTGGGATAACTATGTCAATGAATTTGCTTTCGCCCTTAGGACCGCAAAACATGATACAACGGGCAAAACTCCTGCTGAGTTATTTTTAGGCAGAAAGATTATAACGCCGTTAGATAAATTATTTTATGTGCAACAAAGAGCCCTAGAATTTAAAATGGGTGATATAGAAAAACTAATTAAAGAAGCAAAAAAGAATACGGAAGTAGCACAGAGAAAACAAAAACTGTATTACGACATGAAACGACGGGGAGTAACTTATAAATTAAGGGATGAAGTATTAAAAATTAAGCATTCACTTTCTTCAGCACCAGAAGATAAAACTGCCAAATTTTTTCCACGATTTGAAGGACCATATGTCATAGAAAAAATAACTCACGCTGTAGTAGTGTTAAAAGCCAGAAATCGTGAAACCTGCTCCGCAAACATTGATCAAATCAAACCCTACTATGATCGTAATAAAATGCAAATTTTCAAAGATCTTTCAATCAAATGAAATTTGCGGTTTTGCAGCTGAAGATGATGGTTCGGTAAAACCATCGAAACTAGTCCTGTGAAAATTTTGTAGGTATTACGCTGATTTTTGTTGTTTGACTTCTGAATTAGTATCCTGATAATAACAAACAATAAATACCCACTCCATGAAGACCAGAAATTTTACCTCAGGAGAAATTCTTCTCTGGCTGGAAAGCCCTAGCTTAACTTGTGAGAAATTAAAGGCATTCTTTTCATGTTCGCTTGCGGTGCAGTGCTTAGAGTATTCTCTGGTTCGGTTCTGGCTAGGGTACAGTAGATTCCCTTTATTTCCCTTTCTGAAAAATCTAACAACATTCACAAGCAATGTACAATGCAACTAAAATGTGATGATCACAACTCTTCGTCAGTGTACGTCTAGTCCTCTTAACAAACGCCCTTTAGTTGAAGATGGGACGAAATATGTTAAAGGAACTCTTCGCATGTGTCTGCGTGATGTAGTGATTAGCTTATCAGGTTAGCAACCGGCAGATTTGTAGTTAGGCTCTCAAGTAGGGAAAGGTTTATTTTATATGTTTTCTGCAACTTCCTCGAAAAAGAAAAATAAGTAATTTTTTAACGCATTAACTAATCCAATTCAAAACAGAAGAGAAAGACGTCAAAGTAAAGCATTAAATTAGCAAAGCAACAGCCTAGTGTCTTGCGTATATTTAGTTAAGAACTCAGTCGATTCCGAGAGCTTCTTCATCAGGAGCAAAGAGATCTTTGCTTCTGATCAAGAGGGACCTCTACCTGTTTGCCCTCGAAATCGACTGGCCTTTTGATTAAATCTACGCCAGACACAAGGTTGTTGTTTTGTTAATTTTGTAATCCGATTAAATTTATTTTATAAGTTGTATGCAGATTTATTTTAAATAGTTATGAAGAAGAGCTAATAGTTCATATTTACAAGAACGAAATGAAAATATTTTTTGTACATCAAATAATAACAAATGTAAGCAAAATATTCTATTTCCCACATCTTTACATACTTACGATCAAGCCAAGAATCTCTTGATGTGACTTTCTCTTTGGAAAGGTAAGATATGCATTCTTCAACAAGGAAGCCATCTTCTTTCATCTGTTGCCAAGCAACATCTAAAAATAATAATGCATATTGAATGAATCCATAAATTAAGTTTAATTATAAAATTTAAAAAATTATTTTATTTTATAAAATAAATTTTATTTTAATTAACCCAGTTATCTTATTATTTTTTATTTATTATAACTTCTGCTTTAATCAACTTCCACCAGAATCCAGGTAAGTATAAATAAGCTTCTAGTTACTAAGTGTTTCAGATAGAGAAAGAAAGCACTTTACAGATTAGGAATATTGAGACGATATGAATTGTTACCTCAGATTCAAGATTTTGTTGATTAACAGAATCTAAGCAATTTGGAGAAATGTTTCAAGTTGGCAGTGAGGTATGTAGGTTGGATCAAAATCACTAGATATGGTGATGGTCTCATAGGGAATAGATTTGGCTGTAATAATGGCGATAAATTTAGAGGAAGAAGTGAGGAAAAGTTCGGAGCCAGGAATATGAATGTTGAGCAAAAGATTAATTGGATAAGTAAGCAAAGTAGCGATCTCTACGTAGATCCGAAGAAAATTGTGAATAATGAAGAAAAAGCGGGATTGTGAATAAGAAAGATAACATGAGATCAATTAAACGCATGAAAACCTTATATTTAACTTCTGGATATTTTCAAATAGCTATGAGACTTGAAGATACGGCAGAGAAAGCTTTTATAAGTAAATTGGTTGTATATGTACTTTTAAGATTACCGTTCAGCTTACGCAGCGATTCCACTACATTTCAGCGGAAAATACATACAAGAAAATGTAAGTTTATTTATCAGAAGACATCACAGCAACCACTAATAAAGGAAAACCTAAGACAAGTCGTTTAAAGAAGGAGGGCATGATGAAGACAAGAGAGGTCAATCACTCCAGGTTAAGGAAAAGTACTTTTAAGTGCAATATGAATAATGTGTTGTTAAAGAATATGGAATTGTTTTATATGCAAATAGTTACGTATTAGATAGATAATATATATAAGAATTTCAAATTGATTTACTTCAAAATGCCTTTAAAATGTAGTGATTTTTGATTTGATACCCTATCTTTTTAGAACCTGACGTTTTTCGATTATTTTGAGATTCAATTTTTTTTAACAGCATTTGCTTTTGATGTCAATCGTATACTCGTGTAACCTTTTAACGTCGTTTAAAACGTATATAAGTGCACCCATCAATTCGTAATATTAAAAAATATATAGATCTTTTGTACAGTTTCAAAAAACATTTGACATACTTGAATTTGTGGAAGTGACATTTCTGCATATTAATTTATACTACGAATCAAACAAGGATTATATTTTGTTCGATCACGGTTTTGTTCGATCACGTATTGGCCCCACAATCCAAATCCTTGACTTCGAACTTGATTGTCGAAGCCATCTTTTTCTAATTTTACAAACTATTTTGTTTGCTAAACTATTAGCATTTTTATTCTTTATTTCTATGGAATCGATATTGCTTTCTTTAATTGTTATGAATTCCTTTCTTTGTATAAAGATCTAATAACTTTACGCAGTTGTTCATAATTCGAAATTTGTGTATAAAATTAAAAATGAAAGAATTCTCAATAAATATATTTAAAATATTTTGCTTCTCATTTTCTAGAAAAAAGAATTCAAATTGAACATGGATACGTCAGAGCTATGGTTTTGTTACATGACGTTTGCAACAATTTGACGCCGTAATTAATTTATTAGTTGCTCAAAATCCATAACAAGTTTTAATTTAGCATACTAGTCCAAAGTAGATCACAACACTAGTGCAAATTCCAAATGATTTTCCGGTTGGAACCGTTTGACATTCTTGAAATTGCCCAAGTAGGTTTTCATCGCTGGTTCAAATTCATTTAAACACAATGAATTTTACAGATTTCTCCATCCTTAATATAGAATAACAAGTAATCTTTTACAGTATGAGTAACTAAAACTTTCATTCATTTTAAGAGATATTACTGATTCATTAACATTTTCATTGTAAGAGATATTACAGATTCCTAAAATCTTGTTAAGCAACTTACTAAATAATAGGTTTAGTTTGGTTTATTTGATTATGGTAAAGTACTCGAGGTCTATTTGCATAAGTGGATGTGTGCCTTCGTGAATGACTTTCTGAGGAAAATTGGCTCGTATAACACGTTACACGTGGGGAAAACACGAAAACGCAATGCAAGGAAACCGTTAGCGGGATTCGAACCTCGGACCAAGCTACCAGTGTTCAGCGACATTACCACTCTGCCGCTGGTGGGCCATTGTTAAATAACAAGTTATAAGGTATATGCTTCTTGTGTTTTAGTTAATGATCTTCTTCACAAGTGGCCCAACGAACAATTTTGGCTTACTATCATGATACTGTGGCCAATAGATCGATTGTTTTTAACAATAGATTGTGGCCAATTGATTGTTTTTAATAGATCGATTGTTAGTGTTTTTATAAGCTCTCGTTCCCATTATATCACTAAACCATGAGCGCAGTTTTAATTAGATTTAATACATTTATTAAGATTTAATGATGCTTCATGGTTTATCTTCAGTTTTACTCGATCTCTTTAATTAGTTCAGGGAATAGCAATGTGTTAAATTTCGCGAATACGTTATGTGTTTGCGGCTATTTTCTGTTCGCAGCAATTTTGCCAGACCTGATCTTACTGCTTTTGATGCTTTAATTGCAGTTTTTTTTTTAAATAAACAACTTTATTGCTTCGAATTGTTTCTCCTTAATATTTCAAACATTTTGAAACTGCATTTCTTACAATTTCGAAGAGGAAAAGGCCTTCACAAGAAAAAATTGTTACCTAGTATAGTAAAACGAAATTAAAAACACATTTCCTAAATTTATTAATTCACCATTTGCCCAAAGAAAACTTCTTAATTGGTTTCCTTCCTGCAACAACAAGCTCCTTCTACTATTTGATAATTACTTTATTTTAGAATGCACAGATACACAAATTATTAAACGGGTGTTGGAACCCCAAAATCTTCAAAAAATTGTGATTTCGGATTTTTCCATTTTCAAATTTTCTACACTTTTATCTTTCTAAAAATACCATTCTTTAATCTCTATGAAAATTAGAACTGTGAAAAAGTCTAGTTTTAATTTGTCATCTACTGCTTTGATCAATGAGGATTTTTACATAAAAACGTATTTTTCTCCAAACGGGATTTTTTTATACTCGATGTACCTTTTCTCAGGAACTACTACTCACAGGTATCTAAATTTTTTATGGCTTATTTATTAGGTTTCCTTATATTTACTGAAATGAGCTTTTTGTAATAAACTTAGAAAAAAAAATTTAATTTTTTTGTGCGAGAAAAGTGCTAAATTTTACTATGCCTAACAAAATACTCTGTAATTTACTCTAAAATTCAAAATGCTTCAAAAGCTCCTTTCAGTATAATCAGATAGGTATACTTTAATTACAGAAATAATTTCAAGCTTGTATCTACAGCAGATTTTGAGAAAAGGTACATCGAAAATTTAACAATGGCCAATTTAACATATTCGGTATAGGGGTTTCTGATACCACTTAAAGACCAAGTTTTAGATCCTTGTAAATTCAGACTCTCTAAAGCCATAACTCACCGCAAAATTTACCTTAAAATTAATAGTCTGACATGCACGGTTAAAGTTGCATATGAGGACAAGCTACGGTTACAGTTCCATATAGGGATGAATCAATTACAGGTATTCAGTTGTAAGAATTATGTTAATTTTATTAAAGTTAAATTTTGAGTTGAGGAAAAGCGGTATTTACCGCGAAGTTCTATTGTCTTAGAGGGAGAGATACCAGATATTCTGGCTAGCACGCGTTCGCCTTTTTAGGCTACTTTCTCGTACGTTATTATCACGCTCGGCCGTACTTTAGGCCGTAGATAGCTTCGCAGTCAATTTCTGTTAAGGGGCCAACTCTGTTAGAATTTTGATAGCTTCGGCTATATTATCAGGGTCAATGTTCCTTCTTACCTTCTTCGGGAACATGCAAGGACCTGACTCGGAACAGAGAGCTTACTAAAGCTATGTTCACTAATTGTGGGAAGTAGACAGGATACACAAGAAGGGTATGCAAAACCCTTTATTTTCTCTATTTACAAAAACTTCCGTACTTCGGAATAAACAAACCCGCTACTTGGGGTCAAAACGTAAAAGTATAAAAATAAAACTAAACTCTAATTTAACTTTAGAATAATAAACGTGGAAGATTGGCCTTATATTAACAGGAAGCCGTATGTAGTACAGAGAACTGTGAACACTACAATACGTTTAAAATTTATCAAGAGGATTAAAACCTCTGGCCTGGAAGGCAAACCAGCAACTGCGTAAAACTTCTAAGGTAAGCGGCCTGCTTCGACTCACTGCTTCCTCTCTCTCGCTTGGCAAAAAGCCACAACTTAAATACTTGGCGTTCGCCAGACAAACTTTGCATAAAAACCTTAACGCTTATAATTCTGGCCGGAAGTAGAAAATAAGAAGTGATAGTAAAGATTTAAAATAAAATAAACGTTAGTAAAACTTAAGATCCTTACATACTTCCCGCCAGAGTTAATTAGTTTGAAACTGAGGTCTAAAACGACCTTGTTGAAAACTTTTAGCTCTAGAATCTAACGCGAGGCCAATCTTTTACAAACATTTTTTTTCGCTAGAAACTAGAAATTTAAAAGAAAGAAATTTGTTTTTACAATAGCAGCTCCCAGGATACACAATTTTTTTTTCATCTGTACTGCATCTAAACAGGAGCTTTTATTCAAATCTGGTTCCTTCCAGAGATCTGGAAGGAAAACTAGTTTAATGAAATGTTACACAATGAAATGGCAAGTAACATGTATAATTATATTTCTCTTAACATTCTTATTTCATTCATGACTATTTTAATTATCTCTCCCCGTGCTCTCTGACATGTGTTGTAAAAGAACACCAAACACGAATGTGTTTCTGTCTACGTGTTCCAACACTTCCTCCTACAATCAAAACACTAACGTGTTAAAATTCAACATACCAAGACCTCGTTAACACACCCT